GATCAACGTTGGAACTGGGCGTTACCTTTCTTTTCGGCAATTTTCCTCTGCCATGGCGGACGACACAGACGACATTAGGTAGAAACAAGCAGTCGCCATGCAGCCGGGAGCTAAGTTATGAATGAACTCAGACATTTTCGCTTTTTTTTTTTTTCATTTCACCGATAGGTAAATCAATGTAAACACAAGCCAACCAGTTGGCTACTCAGTTTTAGAAGAAAAGTGACAATAAGTATGCATGAACTCTTATCGATTTCACCGTTGTCTTCACGACGAGAAACCCGGCGAAAACATACCGTCCCAGAAGGACGACGGTAAAAGGTCACGCGTGTTTTGCGTGACGTGACATCTATCTAACCGTCCCAGGCGACCGTAATGACCTATCTTAAAGTTCCTATATACGACGGCGACGGGTTCCGGCGATCTCACACAAAAAGTGAATTCGCGCTGTTTCAAACTTCTTTGCTCTCATTCCATCTCGTCCAATTTGTGAAATGTTGGCAAAATTTTTCTCGGGTTGAGTTCTAAAAGACTGTGTCTTAAGTTCAGAAAATAGAAAGTAAATCTGTTTTCGGTGTTCACGTCCTTCAGAAAACGTGAAATTTGGAATTTTTGCGTCGGTGGCAAATAAGTAGTTTTTATCAAGGTAGATTGGCCACCGTAGGGGGATTGAGATGTTGACGTTTTTAGCCTGCGAGTAGGCTCACTTGTGCGAATTCGGCGAAAATTTTTCTCGATGGCGGCTCTGCCGCCAAAATTTTCCCCAAACTCGCACTGGTGAACCTGCTCGCAGGTAGCCTATTCCAGGCGTTCTGATAGTAGAGCGAGGGCGAAAAATTGACTAGGGGGGACTAAAGAGGGAAATGGGGAGGGAACGCGTACGAATTAACTTGCTCCCCACTATCTGAACGCCTGGAACAGGCTAGTTCGAAGACTATGGTGTTTTGAGCATTTGTCCTTCTTAAAATGGGGTTCCGTCTCAAGTAGGAGATGTAAAAATTTTGTCCTTTCGTGCTAAAAATATTGAGACTGATAATGGGGTAGGTAGTGAGCAATTTTGTGTAACTTTCCATTCTTTTTTAACAGGGATCTCCTTGGAGTAACGATATATCCCTTGCTATTCTCAACTTTCACGAGAGCGGCGTGATGGAGGAATTGGAGACCACTTGGATTGACACCAAGAAATGCGCTGAACAGAGTAATTCGCCCGCCACATTGGGGCTCAACCATATGTTAGGTATGAACTATCGACTTGATCTGGTCCTAGTTGTTCAAATGCTGGATAGCGCTATCCACCGGATAAATCACTATCCAGCTGATAACCATTAAGGAATCCAATTGCGCTATCGAGTGGATAGAGATTTATCCGGTGGACAGCGCTATCCACCTTTTGAGCAACTGGAGCCTGATTCCTTTTCAACGACGTCCGACGTTATCAGCGTTGTTTGATCAAATTGTGCGTTGCTGGGTCTGATTCGTTCTAATAAATCCGCCCTCCACAAAATAAGTCGTTGTATTCCAACCGACATTACCAGAATCTCGTGTTATGTTTCCAACAAACCTTGGCATCTTTGTGCTTGTTGACTTGTAGGGAGGGTGCTTCGGCTAACGGGTTCATATGGCTAGCAGTGCTAAACCTCGGACATTCATCATTTTCTTTCGGTTATTTTACAGTGTAACCTCGATTTAACGAACCTGTATATAACAAAGACCTCGATATAACGAACGACTTTCTTTTCCTCAGTAATAGTAAAATATATTAAAAAAGAACCTCGATATAACGAAACCTCGTTATAACAAACAAATTTGTCAGTCCCTTCGTTAAATCGAGGTTCTGCTGTATATAAAAGACGCAATAGCAAACAGCAGAATAGACGCTGAACTTAACGATGGCCGTTCTTAGTGAAGTGACGTTATCAGAGATGGTACCCCCTCACCCACGCGATCATAGCCTGTTCCAGGCTCTCAGATAGTGGGAGAGACGCGAAAGAGTGGGAAAGACGCGACTTTCCTGTTCGCGCTTTCTCAATCCCTGCGGACCCGACTATCTCGGAGCCTGGAACAGGCTAACGCTATCAGTATTGCAGGGCATGTTTCAAGGCGACTTTAGGTCTCAAATACCAGAAACAAATTTTAGGTTGTATTCGGCATTTTTGCCATCCTCTATAATGCACCTTGTTTGACTTCGAAAAATTTCCATAAGCATTCTCTTCAATTTCTCTTAAGGTGACTTTAGTAAGAAGGCGAAATTGTAAACAAGGGTTACGGAATTTTTTTTTTTTTCAAGGGGGTACACAATGTGTTTGGTGAATGATGTGCAAATCGAGAATGTGTTCAGTACGGTTGGCAACAAGATCCTTTTTTTGTTTCTTATCTTCCAGGTGTGTTTATAATGGTTGCTGCCGGAATTGGAGCTGGCATCGTGATCATCATCCTTGAAATCCTGTACCATAAGCACCGTGGCTGGAAGGAGGAGCAAAAAGAACTGGCCAAAAAGACAACGGACAAGTGGCGTGCAAACATTATGATGATGAAAAAGGAACGCACAACTAACGGTGGCCAACCTGTCAATGGAGTCCTGGACTCACACTCGCCTCACAGTGATGGCATAGCACGCAGAAATCCCATCTACAATGTTGACAATCACGTGGACGGCACGTTCACTTATAATTAGCCGACCGGCAGAACAATGTTCTCTTCACGTGCAAAACATGTTCTTTGTGGACGGTAGTGTGTAAACATGGTATTTACTTAGGTGTTAGGTCCTTGTTGTAGATTTGCAATAACACAACTTTGAGACGGTTCTTTAAGAAAAGACCGGCGGGGGTAACAATAGCCCCCTTCCCCTCTCTAAATGAAGAAGAGAAAATTCTTACAAACGAATGTTGTCTCAAAAAATTCCTGCAAGCGGTTTTGCGTAACAATTGTGTAGACAATGACAGGTAAAAACTCCTGCACCATTAATTTTAACACTCCTTCTGCTTATTTCTAATAGCCCACGTTCGATATATCAAAATTTTAACATGACTCCGAGGCTTTAGGGGTCAAAATTGCAAATTTTTCACTACTCCATTGTGTCGCAATTGCCAGACGAGATTTGAGCACAAAGAAAACCCAAACCAAATATAGAAAATGACCAGGAAGCCTCGTAGTCCTGTTAGAATTTTAATATATCGAACGTAGGCTATTGGCCGCCCCTTACCCCAATAAGGTACATATGCTTGGCTTCGTATCTGTATGATCAGTAATTCGCGAAGCAAATATGGTCACTTGAAAATGACTTGCTGTTGCAGATACATTGAATTTAACTGTATAAGTAGATTTACCACGACAACGGAAGGTTTTGCTAGCTTCTTATTTATTTATTTATTATTTATTTATTTATTTATACTTAAGAGTAAAGGGTTGTAAAATATACATGAACAATCGAAAGTTTCTACAAGGTCGAAATTCTTATTATATGTCCTGTTTCGAATTTGTAAACCTTTTCGTAGATCCACTTCATTCCTGCAAGTACACACAATGGAACGAGGTCGAGGCTCGGGTGGACGATTTCATTCAAAATTACTTTATTTTGGGTGCTTTTGTTCATAAGAGGTCTGAAAGAGTCTATTCCCCCGAAGGGGCACTCCTTAAAAGAGTCCATACGGGGAGGTACCTACTTCCTCTCGGGAGGGATTTCACCAGTTGAGGTATATAAGAGGGTAGGGAAATCTGTCATTTCGACCTGCAAAGGACCGAAAATGGCAAACAGAAGTATGTTATGGCTGTCAAAAAGTCAAGAAAACCTCATGTGGTAATGATTGATTCATTTTTAAGAAGATAGTACGTTTACAGAAACTAAAAGGGATGCACCTTTTAAACTTGGTATGTGGGTACCAATTTGTTGTTGTTGTTGTTGTTGTTGTTTTTTTTCAGTAGAAGGTATACGAAAGGGTTATCTTTTCTGTCAAAAAAATTGCCTGTTTCCAGCGTGGAAACAAAGTTTTTCCCCTTAAATCGATTGGTAGATCAATCGGCTAATGAAAGTAAAGTTTAACAAATGAAATAATGCGTTATGTGTCGGTATTACTCAAAGGGGTAATGTCATTCGAACGGAACGTTACGTCGATAACAACTCTACTGTTGAGTAGGAGAAGTGTAATTTTAAGTGTAAGTTTAACTGTTTAACTGTCTATATTATATATATGCACACTGTGAATAAACAAATGGACAACGAAACAGAGTGGTTTTCCGCTATTTCTATGTAAGTGTCTCCGTTTCTGACATTTATTTACGGAGGTTGAAGTAGTATTTGGAAAACCTTTGCCACACACGTGCCTGGGAATTAACGAGGTTGCAATATAGTGCGGCAATCATTTCTCTAACTTTTGAAGGACTAGCTCAGTTGGTAAAGCGCTTAGCTGCAGTCAGCGAGAGATCAGGGGTTTGACCCATGGGGGCCGGAGCCCAATTGAGAAATAATGCCGCTGTTTTTGCCCTGATAGACCTTCGCGTGGCTCGAATGACCACGTACGGTGGCGGTCGTGTCTCCAGTAGGAAACGTAAAATATAGTGTTCCCAATCAGAAGATTCCGCACTAAATACATTAACATTCAAGGTGCGTCTTTTATAGTACGATCGCGTTATTCAGACAGCAATAAATTCGCTAATTCGGGTAAAACACTGAGTTTAAGGTCAGTTATGAATAAGCTCGCCTGAAAGACGTTGAAACGGAGTTACATAGGTATGAGCGATTTGTTTAGCTATCCCTTATTTACCTCCTGTTTCTTTGCCTTATTTTCCTGTTCTTGTGTTTGTATTGTTGTCAGGATTTTTCAGGTACTCACGTGGGTACTAGCACTACTCACACTAAATTGAACCAAAGGAATAAATAAATAAATAAATAAATACATACATACATACATACATAAAACGGCTGGCCCGTTAGACTGCGGCGGAGGTTAATACTGGAGCGCTACAAGAACCCTTTAAAATATTACCGCCCCCCAAATGGGAATGAAATTTAACATATGCGTTTATAAGCTTTTAAGTTTATAAACGCATTTGTTTTTTAACACTCGAGAAGGTTGCCGTAAACAACATCCCCCTAGTATCCCACGCTTATTGTTACAGCAAGGAGCCCAAAAGTGTGACCGCTTATAATTTATTCACATTCTTTCGTGCAGATTTAATCCAATCAGAAGCCAGCTGGAAACTGTCCTCGACTTCTGATTGTTAATGTCTGTATAAAAGAATGTGAATTAATTAATGGAGGTCACACTTTTGGCTTTTTGCTGTAAGTTATGTACAGGCAACCTTGCTTTGTTAAGACCATTAATCAACCAGTGATGACCGTCTTAACGCTTTTATCACGATGGTATAGCAGATCCACCACCACTTAGTGGTTTCATCCCACGCTTGTTCAGACAAATTTTGTATATCAAGTTTTCTGATTTGATTAAAACAGTCACGTGAGTGGATTGATGACAGTGGGACTGTTATCATCACAATGGCTTCTGTGATGGATGGGACATAGCAGATGCGCTTGTTCCAGGCCTCTATAAGAAACAACAACAAATAAAAACAACATTTTAAGCCCTTGTAAACATGTATATTTAGATTTCTTGAAAAACGCGACCGCAAATTAAAACACTAAACAACTCTATATGGCCAAACTGTCTCACTACTTACATGAACAGATGGACACCTTTTTCAGATGAAAGATAAAATTTTATTCTGCCATTAGCACTGGATTATAAAGACGTAAAGGAGGCTAGGCTAATTCGTCATTTGGCATCTCCAATAATACACCTCGTTTGGCCCCAAACTTTTGCATAACGCTGTCTTCAGTTTCTGTTGGGACAACTTAATACCAGGAACAATTAAAAAGCAACTAAAGGTTATGCCAAATGTTGGGAGGCAAACAAGGTACATTACTGTAGATGTGCAAATAGTAAATGAGAAGAATTTCCAATCATTCTGGTCTCCATTTTGTTGACAATACGAAAAAAAAAAAAAACAGCGAAGAATTCAGACACTTCTGACTTGTCTCCCTTTCATCCTTTCTATCAATCCTTGCATGTTCCGCTCTGTTTCTAGTGCCATCAGCATTTAACTAACTACTGAAGAGTCCCAGGTCATGGGCATTCGCAGTGTAAGAGGCGTATTATCGTGCTTAGCCGTGAAAGTGCAATATTCAATTTTTGCTTGCAATGGGCTGTTTGAAAATTTATAGCAACACGGTTCTGAGGGTTTCTGAGATGGGATACATAGTTGGAGTGTAACCCTGCATAGTAAACGGCGGGTGTAATATAGTGGAACCTCGATATAACAAACCTCTATATAACGAGGTCCTCGGTTCAAAGAACGATTTTCTTTATCCCCTGGCCAGTAATAAAAAATTTTGTGGAAAAGGACCTCTCTTATAGCGAACAAAATTTTCGAGTCCCTCGGCCCTTCGTTATATCTAGGTTCAACTGTATATCTATGCCACTGATATTATATGACCCTATAGGGTCGTGGGTTCGAATCCCATCTAGGGCTCAGATTTTTTTTGTGTCCTCTTATTGTTGATTCATTATATCTCCCTATATTCCCTTTATCAACTGTATATCAAGCACGATAAAGGGTGTTTTTTGGGAAATCTAAACACTGGGGAAGTTTAGACTGCGACCAGTCTCTCAGCTTTTTTCATTTTTTGGCTCTGAGGAAAGACGGACGACCGCTTGCGGCCCATGAAAAGTTGGTTGAAAAAGCGAACTGCAGCGAAGTGACGCCGAGATTTTGAGGCCTCCCGGAAGCAGGGTTTAAGTACTCACCAGGCTGCCATTTCTCGTGGAAAGTGTATCCTTGGACAGGTCATTGTAGTTTTGCGGAGACAATGAATGTGTGTTGAATAGGTCATGTGACTCTGACCAAATCTTCTTTTTTCTGTGGAAGACCCTTCGCACCTAGGAAGAGATATAGCATATTTAGGATCAATAAAAAGCTATTTCTAGGTGTAATACTATAGTCAATAGTTGGCTTTCAGTTGCTATTCTCTAAATGCGTGGCCATGTACAGCACCTTAAAATTCAACTTTAAACGTAACTATTGACCAATGAGATCACGAAATCTAGGGACTGTCAGAGTAAAGCCTATACATATATATGCAACTGGTAACGTATTTTGCCTCTGAAAAACTGTTTTTTTTTTTGTAATGTTCAACTTATGAGACCACACAAAACGCAATATTAATGCAATCCAAGGTTTGATTATCGCTTGAAGTAGTTTCTTTGGTGTTGCGGACGAGTAAGATCACTACATGTTGTAATACGGAAAGATTGAAAGGACTATGAATATCACAGAACTAGAGCACAATTGCGGACTAAGAATTAATAGTTTCTGCAACACTAAGAAACACTCCTGAAAAAGACGATTCTTCTAAAGATGGTACTTTGATTGTAGCAACTGATTTCAGTTTGCATTTCTTGGTTAGGTTGTTGCCCTTGAAAGGACTGGTTGCGTATAAGGGTGGTAGTCACCCATTTATTTTCCTAGTTTTAACATTGTCATGCACGTTTTACCTTAAGAATGCTTATATTTTATATTTCAAATAAAAACATGATGTAATTGAGTTTAATCGTCATATATATAATCATAATGTATTTAACTCGAAATACTGTCTAAAAGTGGTTTTCGATTCGTACCGTC